AGAAAAAAAGAAAGAGAAAGAAAGGAAGAAAGGAAAGAAAGAGAGAGAGAGAGAAAGAAAAGAAAGAGAGAGAGAGAGAGAGACAGATCAAGCAAAAGGCACTTCTGAAAAATGAAAGCAAAAAGCAACCCGGCCCAGCCCGGAGCTACCCCGCGCGGCCTCCAGGCGCAGCCCGCCCGACGGGCCCGTTTTGCAATCTGCCAGACCCGAGCACGCCCGCGGCCACCGCGATCTTTCGAAATCTCCGAGGGCTGCTTTCCTCCGCGCCTACGTCCGGGCACCAGGCAAAGCCTCTCCCCTAAAGGCGGGCAACCCGGCGCAGAGACTTGCAGACGGCGAGGGGCAGTGCCCAGGAGGGCAGTTTACAACATACTTAAAATGTTACCGCTGAAGCAGGGAAAGTAATGCCTTAAGGGGGGTGGGGGAGGAGGCTTCCCACCATTTCACGGTTATATGTACCTATCTCATACCTAGCAAGAAATATTTGCAAGTGATTTCTCCCTCTTCCCCCTTTTTAATGTTCGCATTTGGGTCGGTAAGACTTCTCATTAATCACCAATAAGACTTTAACAATCGTTGGATCGCAAGCTGCTATTATTTTAAACATTCTGCCCAAAGACTAATTGAAAATAAACAAATCTATTTTTAAAAGGCAAGCTTCAGAAATTTGCTCTTAACCCATTTCAGAATTTAAGTCAGTTATGGGCTGCTCACTGTTTTACAGAAAGCTAAGAGTCAGAAAGAAGAATGAAGCAGAGGAGAAAAAAACTCAAAGTGCTCAAAGCACTTTGGGGTAATAATTTGGCTTTTCTTTTTTCTTTTCTTTTCTTTTCTTTTTCTTTTTTTTTTTTTTTTGCGAGTATGGGGGATGGGGTTGGAAGAAGCATCCACTAGGCAGAAAGCTACTTCCCTTGAAAATTTTCAGCACCCACATTTCCAAGTTTGGGCAAAGTTTCTGAAACTACGTCCCCCAGTCACCAAAGAAATTCAGTATCTGTCCCCCAACCCCCTAGGTTTTCTTTTCTTTCTTTCTTTTTTTTTTCTTTTTCTTTCTTTTTTTTTTTTAAGTATCCGAAAGATGTGGGAGGGAGAGAGATGAGACTGCAAATGGGTCGACTGAAATCTCCAGGCTACTACTGATACTTGTTCTCCTTCTTCAGAGCCAAACTGAGGAGATCACATCTAAAGTTATCATGGCCAGAACTTTAGATCTGCCAGAGCATCTAACCCTAACTACTAAGACCCCAGCTCGCTCCCTTTCCTTTTTCAAGATAACCGAGCTCCAAACTCCGTTTCCAGTCCTAAAGTGTCATTGCCCACAATTTTCCCACTCCTCTCCATCCCGGAGTCCCCAAGTTGGTCCAACATCTTCTGAGAGCAGCGTTGCTCAGAACAGACCAAGTGGAGACCACAGAAAAGTCGACCCTCTGCTCTCAGCCGAGCCTCCCCAGCGCATCCCCCCTCGCTTACCCTGGGCACTGCGGTCCTCCATGAACTGGCAGAGCAGTAGCAGCAGGAGGCAAAGCCCACCCGGCTGGTGCCTTGCGCGGACCATCCTGGGGGCAGGCGCGGGGCGAGGAGCG